GAACAACTGCAGCCTAAGGGAAGGACTCACGTCAGAGAAGTTCATGGAGGACTGTCTCCTGTGGGAGGGATCTGACGCCAGAGCAGGGGAGAGTGTGAGGAATCCTCTCCCTGAGGGTCAAGGAGCAGCAGAAATATGTGATGAACTGACCACAACCCCCATTCCCCATCCCCCTGTGCCACTGGCAGGGAGGAGGTAGAGAGATTGGGAGCAGAGCTGAGCCTGGGAAGAAGAGAGGGGTGGGGGGAAGGTGTTTTAAGATTTGGTTTTACGTCTCATTATCCCACTCTGATTTGATTGGCAGCAAATTAAATTGGTTTTTTTTTCCCCCCAAGTTGAGCCTGTTTTGCTCGTGATCGTAATTGGTGAGTGATCCCTCCCTGTCCTCATCCTGACTCACAAGCCCTTTGTTATATTTTCTACTCCCCATCCCACTAAGGGGGAGGAGTGAGTGAGCAGCAGCACGGTGCTTAGTTGTCAGCTGGACCTAAACCATGACAGGTCCCTTCCAACCCAAATCATTCTACGAGCTCCTTCCATTTCCATGGAGACGGGATGAAAGAAAGAGAGGAGAACTTTCACCACCACACTATTCTGCAATGCTACCTGTAGAAAACAAGATTACTACTTACCTCCAGTTCACTGTCCTGTGAGGAAGAGGTATCTGCTTTCCTCTTCCCCCTGTTCTTCCCTGGAATGTTTTTTCTTGCCTGCTCGTCTAACTCTTTACTTGCTGTTGCTCTTGATAATGAAGGACTTGTGGATGCATCTCCTAGAAGAAAAAAAATCACACAGTTCTCACCCCCTCATGTCTCAAAACAAACACCAACATAAAGCTTATAGCATTTGTCCACAAACCTCCTTTGCAAAAGGTAAGATGTTATCTTGCTTTATTGATGCAGTAGTAGTTGAAGCCTTATTTGAACATAAAACTGTTTTTCTTTGTCCCATCATTTCAAACCAGCTCTGTCTCCTCAATTCACTCCACCAAGACTGAGCTACTTGCAGCATCTCGCCTGCAGTACAAAGCCAAGGACAGAGCACCCTCCATCCTGGGGCATGGAACCCCTCAGATGTCACGCTAACCTGGAACCGCTTTATTACTCAATTGTTTCTTTTAAAACTTCTTGAAAGAGCACCAGAATGAGTGTACAGAGGAAAGTATTTAATGATGCTTCTCCGTCCCAGATTTCCTGGACTAGTCAAATGTCTTGTGTCAAGCAACACATGCTGCTTCCACCACTGCCTACACTCCTTGCTCCTGTGCCACTGTAAGCCTTTGACTAACAGTTAAACACTGCTCAGTGCACAGAGTCATCTGAAAGGTGTTAACCAGACAGAAATCCACAGTGTGCTACCTGTGACACACACAGACTTAGACCACCCAAGAATTAGTAAAGAATAACAGGGAAGATCTTGGCTCTGGAGACACAGACTTGGCCAAGCACCATGGCCATGGCTGACAGGGATATATTATGGAGCCTATTCCACTACTGGCAGGAACATCCTTCCCAGGGGAAGAGTAAAGGACCATCATATTAAAAAAAAAAAAGCCCCCCAAAATTTCGATGTTTTCATGTGCCGAATATTACAACCATGACAGGAGATCTCTGAATTCTTTGTTAACAGTTCATGTTGAAGAGTTAACATCCCAAAAGTCTGCCTCACTAGTTCAGAAATAGGACCAGAACTGTAATGGGAAGGCAGAGGACACAGGGGCTTGAAAGAGCTTGAATTCAGTCTGGATCCTGAAGATAAGACATTGCAATTCCTGTGAAACAACATGGTGAACTTGGAGAATTCCTGAGCTAAGGAAATGGCACTGAAAACATTAACAGCTGGGCCATTCCCTGGCCAGTGCCTTGAAAGAACAGGTAAATGCTCTAGGTTTTTGACATCAAATAAGAGCAAATTCTCATAGATAAATCTGCTGTTGCTCACCCCAACTAGAGGGCAAGTGCCTCCTGAAAGAGGGAAAGTGCTTGAAGCACCATGCTCCTTGATTTACAACATCACGGTGTGATGTCTGTCATCCCCTGTCATCCCATACAGTAACGGTGAGAGAGGCTGGGAACTTCACTAAGGCTATCTATTTGTCTGCTTTGCTCACTGCCAGCCACCCTGCTTTCAGGTTGCCTGAATGAGTTTGAGGACTTGGCAGAGCTCAGATACAATTGAGGGACTTGGGGAAGATGGAGAAGGCAAAGTGCTGCCAAGGCAATCCCTCCCCACCTCCCACAAGCAGGCTAATGCCCTGCCAGTCTCTAAGCAAGAGCCACCTTGGAAGCTGAACCACCATCCCTCCTTCTTCCTCCATTTCAGGTTTTATTGCTGAACATGACATTCCATGGTCAGCTCAGGTCAGCTCTCCCAGCTGGTCACCTTCCAGGTTCTTGCCCACCCCAAGTCTGCTTGCTGGGCAGTGTGTGGAGGGGAGAAGCCCTGACACTGTACAAGCATTGTTCAGCAGTAGCCAAAACACTGGTGTGTTATCAACACTGCTTGAGCCAAGAATCCAAAACACAGCACCAGCAGAGCTGCTACGAAGACAGTTAACCCCATCCTGTCCAGGCCCAGGGCACCAACAAAAATGACTGAATCTGTGTTTGGATTATTTTTTTTTTCCAGCCTACCAATCTCCAAAACGCAGCAGCTTTCAATTTAAAACTGTTCAACAACTCAGGAAGAATGTCGTAACTCCTTGCATAAGACACCAGAAGAAGCACTAAGTCTCTGCTCTCATCTTTGTTAAGTTTAAAAAACTGTTCCAGTATAGGCTGGGGACAGACCTGTTGGAGAGCAGTGAAGGGGAAAGGGATCTGGGAGTCCTGGTGGGCAGCAGGATGACCATGAGCCAGCACTGTGCCCTCGTGGCCAGGAAGGCCAATGGCATCCTGGGGTGCATTAGAAGGGGGGTGGTTAGTAGGTCGAGAGAGGTTCTCCTCCCCCTCTACTCTGCCCTGGTGAGGCCACATCTGGAATATTGTGTCCAGTTCTGGGCCCCACAGTTCAAGAAGGACAGGGAACTGCTGGAGAGAGTCCAGCACAGAGCCACCAAGATGATGAAGGGAGTGGAGCATCTCCCTGATGAGGAAAGGCTGAGGGAGCTGGGGCTCTTTAGCTTGGAGAAG